AGGATTTTATTAGGAAAGCATCGTTGAAAATTCCGAAGGCATCTTCTACTTTGGTATCCCTGTGGACTGGTCGGGCGAATACCTATCTGGCGGAGATTACGGAAGAGATAAGCTGGCACTTGGTAAAGCGCAGCGACGCATCGAGTCTGCGAAGAAGTATCTAAAGAACACATCCTACCTTTTAGACCGTGCCTGCCTTGCTTGCGAAGAGGGCAGCCTGCTTCTCCAACAGTCTTACTTCAGGTCATCCATGGCGGAAGAATCCAGGCGTTGCTTTGATAGCTGTATCGAGTTATGCAACCTTGGCTTAGAAGAAAGCCCCAACAACCGCCTGCTTCTAAGAACGCACGACCTGGCAGTGACGAAGAAAGCTATGCTTCTGCTGGATTTTTCCAAGGATTACGAACCGGTCGGAAGCTTACTGAATGAAAGAACACTGCTTGAGGCAAGGCAGTGTCTCGACAGTCTAAAACTTGCCTCCGTTTAGGAAATGACAAAGACAGCACAAGTTCAGTATCATTTAGTTCGTTCAGACCAATATTTCCGGGAGCAGCGTACTGTTGATGCTATTTCGCATGCGCAAACTGCATTTGATTTGTCACGTCAGTTTGGCTTTGACTCCTGTGCTGCAGCTGAAGTTCGCCTGAACTTTTTATTGAAGTTTCCCACTTCCAGCTAAACCTATAGCGATGAATAAAACTTGGCAGAGTAGCAGTCATATTTATTCATTGGATATATCAATATATTCGCGAAGTTAAGTCATGAAGTCATGAAATAGTATAAGTTTCATATTTATATTCAGAAGGTCTTATTTGAAAAATGTGTGACAAATGTGAAAAAAGCACTCAAAAGTGTTCCTTGAATTAAAAGAGTGGTTTTGCTCGAATAAAGGACCGTTTTGTACGGTCAGGCCTGGTCTCTTTTTCCTGGCAGAGGGCATTTCATGAAATTTCAAAATTCAATGATACTTCTTTAAAATGTTTAATACTATATTACATAGAAAGACAAAAACAAAACGCTGGGTATTTTTTCTGAGATTGTTATAAAAGATAATAATAATTGAATAGTGATGATGATGATGATGATAATCATACCATTTGGCCGCTTATTATTTATTTTGGCGGCCATACCGTGACGCTATACCCGATAGCTTTTGCGCTGCCTCGAAAATCATACGGGATAGGGCTTCTGTTCACACGTAAGTTAAGAACGGTTGTGGCGGCGTGATTTCTGTGACGGAGCAAAGCTGACGCCCTGCTCCGCGCCGATCTCGAAAGTGGAGCGTCACATATTGGATAGATCTTGTGCCATTAACGTTGGTGCAGTGTGAGCACCTATTCGGCCCGTGGCGGAAGTAGCGTGGCGAAAGAGCGAGGCCTGGAACCCACTGAGACGGAAGTAAATATTCAGGAGTGAGGACTGGAATTAAGTCCACCAAGCTCTCTCGGCCAACCGAGCCGGCACGATGTTGGATCTATGTACTGTGAACGACTTGTACCGCCCCAGGCCGTTGCTGTTCATCCATATACTGTACCGGATAGCAGTTTTCGTGGCGCCACGAAAAGCTACCGTAAAATTCCGAAAATAACGGCCCCAGGGCTTTTATTTTTCAAAGGCCTTTTTGACGGGCCTATTTTTAGAGGGGCCTATATTCGGAAGGGCTTATGTACGGAGGGAAATTTGCGTTTAAATGATCGATTAGGCTTGCCTTATATTATTCTTGGTAGGAAATTTACCGTTTTTCTTCGGTTTTTTTTTTCATTTGAGGGCAATTCCCAAGTACAAGGCCCCCGGGGCTTATATTGGTTTAGAGGGGGGATTTAACGGAGGATTTTTGTGTTACGAGTTTGGGGGGCTTATTTTTGGAGGGGCTTATACATTAGGGGGATATTTTCGGAATTTTACGGTATGCGGTATCTAGTGTGAGCATAGCCTGAGTGAAATTGCGTGAAAAACATGAATTGATAATAAATACATTACAACGTTTTGTCATTTGCTCGAAGCGCTCTGTTTGAATGTTTTTAATCATGTTAGCGAGCCAAGATTGTCAGTGGTCATTGTTACATACACCTCCCTGTTCCGATCACGTGTTGGGCAAATTACTTTCAAACTTTCTTGCCTTATCACCGCATGTGTGAGTTTTAAAAATACACGCTTTTAGTGACGAGAACCAGCAGGAGCATGACCGGCTATTGAAAACCGCACAGCCCACGAAGAAAATCAAACTACACGAACCATGCCGAAGGGAGGCCGAAGCCGCAGACAGATAGGAAGAATTGTCGAACGAAGAAAATTACTGATTTTGACTTCAATTAAGTATGAACAGAATGGCAGAGGCAAAAACTCAAAGGCACTTAGTATCCAAAACACGGACGGAATTGCGTTTTGGTCAATATGTGGACTTCGTTTAATCCACCCATTAATTTTCTAGAAAGGACGAAGTCCTCGATTTACGAAGACGACCTAAGTTAAGCTATTTCGTCGGTTTATTTGTTAACAATTCTATGGCAACTGCATGATATCCCGTCATGATTTTCTACTGAAAAGCAAATACAAAATGCGTTTTCTACTAGGTGATTGTCTATGTTTAATTGGAGCACAGTCGCATACACAATGTTCCTGGATGCCTTCGTCACAAGTTAAAGTTTAATGGTGGTCGTCCAGAACAGGAGGGGAGTAAGTGGGGGGATCCAATTTGCCATGAGATTTTGGTTTTGAGGTCTGCCCGGTTCATTAAGATTTTGCTTTTAAACATTCCCTGTTCGTGTTCCAGCGTATTGACCGGTTGTCTATGTTTCCATTTTAGGAAACGTGCGCTTTTCGGTTTGTAAACATTATCACGTTTTTATGTCTAGCCGGATTTTATAAACCAACTATGGATTTTGTTTTTCCTCTTCTCGGCTTCCTTTCTTCGTTCTCGCTCTTTCCGTTTGTCCTTTACTTTACCGTTGCTACACTGTGATTTTCAAGCTTTTTGGGCACAACAAAAACCTGCCTTCGGCCCTTTTTCACTCAAATGGCTGCAGATTTCGTTAGGTTCTTTTTCAACAAAATCGGATAGATATTTGCATCTGTTTTTTTGCTATGTAGTTCCAGGATTAACAAAGCTACGGGTATCCTATTTCAGCTATTAACTAAAGATGAAACTGAGGACATCATGAGATGTTGCAAGCATGAATTTTTTTTGCAAGTTATACGGAGCTGAAGGACATCAAACATCTGTGAGCTTCGGAAATCAGAGCGAAAGGTGTTTTCATCCCATCTCGATGCAAAATGATAAAAACAAAAAGCCAGGATGAAAAATATTTTTTATGTTTCTGCAGTGCAAGAGGCATTGTTTTTATGGGGTTGTAACTAGGGGCCTACATCATTAAGTGAATATGGTCATGATTATTATTGAGTTGAATTATTCACAGGCTACCCGCTGAGGTTAAAACTTTGTCCGTTAGCTTTGAACGGAGTTGGAACAATAAAATGTTTTTGTTTTACCTTGGGGCTAAATGAAGACGTATCCTTGCTTTAGTCAGTTTAGTTTCATGTCGTCATGTTAACAGCTGCAAATTAACAGTTTCGAGAAAATTCTTCAAGGCAAACTATTCACTGATGCATTTGGAAACGCTGTAAAACTAAACGCACGTACAAAATCGTACAGAGCGGCTACGAATTGTAAAATATTTGCTTCTTACAATATTTTCTTTGGTCGAGTCACCGAGGTTGTTTTTAAGGTGGATATTGAAGCTCTTGAAACGGTAAGTAGATGTGTTTCATACAGGTTGCCCAAGATTAATGACTTATAAAACTAAACTGACGAAAAACTGTGTTGTCTTGTGACAACATGCTCGAATTCTAACGCAGCGATTGATTAAAATCGAAAAAATTTCAAGAACAAAACGCGTTCAAAATACTAGTCCGACGAGACCAGCAATATACTGAAAAACAGCTTGCGACTGAGAACTGGAACCAAAAAGGATTTGCAAAGCAATATATCGTAGCGGAACACTTTCAAGTCAGTTAAAAAATTGTCAAGACGCTTGGTATTTTTAAATTGTTTCAAACTTCAAATTTAAACAAACGGAGTTCAGGAAAAACAAGGGAAATAAAATCAAATAAGTAAAATCTTCAACAATTTTAAGACCGCAAATCATGTGAAATCCTTGAACTATTTAAAGTTTTGTTAGTCTAGTTTAGTAAAAGAAAAATAGACTGAGGAAACCAAAAAACAAACTTAATACACTGTACAGGGCCGTTATATACAGGTTTGACTGTATTTTTTTAATGCTTAAGAATAGCTTCAAATTAACACCAGGGAGGCTTTCCTAATGAAATTAACCGATCATAGTGTCCATCTTGTCCACAAAGCCTGTCGTTTCCTTTCGTCACGTGGTCTTGAAATGAGGGGTCCGTCACAAATTAAGCCGAGTGGCTCTGGGGACGAGAATGATCATTTTCAGCCCATCTTGCCAATTACTTAATTACTCCGAGAACTTGAAGATTATGAGTATTTTTTTGGGAATTCACGAGGGAATCATGAATGAAAACTTTATTCATGAGGAAGTATTTAGCTATACAGCTAATGGGAGATACAGACTATCTAGTACATACATTATAAGTATCCCTAATTAAAAAGAAATCAAAATAAAAAATAAATAAATAGATTGGGTATATGGCATTCTTGAAATCTTCCTAATACTAAAATTGTAGACCCTATTACATACACATTTACTTTCTACAGTCGGATTACGACTGTACCGGGGATATATATGCATTAGTTTATTAGTCCGGATAAGTCGACTTTCCTTATTTTGAAAGAATTTGACTTTCGGCAGTTCTTAGTTTTCTGGAAACTTGGACCAAGTAAGACGGAGGCCCCAAGTATTCATACTAACGACTATTTGGGTTAGTGAATTTCGCCCAATAATTACATGGAACTTTTCTTTTTAATTCCAGATCATTTTCCCAATTCATCAGTACCTCTCTGTAAGCACAACTAGCTAAGAGAGATGTACGGTGTAAACAGCTGCGAAGATGAACCTCTGGTAACGAGAGCTGGGGCGACAAAACAAGCTAATAAACTGGTGTACTTAACAGGGGCTATCCTTTTTGCAGCCTGTATTATAGCCTCTTTAGCTCTGGCTATCACTGTAGCTGTTATTTTTTACGAAAATCGCGATAACGAATTGAAGAATTCAACGGCAGTAAATGCTGCGACGGGTAAGCCTTCTACTGAGTGTCATATCAGAGTTTTACAATCTGGAACATTGATATTTACTAATTATTTATTTAAATGAAGGACTCTAAAAGCCCCTTTCACGATGACGTCATTTTACTACGAGGCCTGCTATATGTATTTACGACCAAAAATCCTTTAAAGTTTTGCTTGATTGTTCAATTAATAAAGGGGAGAAGTGTGACGTCGCATTACCATGGTAGCAAAATTATCTTTCTTGAAAGTGACGGCCATTTCCATTGTCGAGCAATGAAAGAAAAGTGAAAGTCCAAAGTTTTGTTCCTGAGTGCAATCATGCACAGGAAAGTCAGGGGCACCCAACGACAATTTTTGGAAAATATCTGTTCGAAAGACGATTTGAGATCTAGAATTTTCGGAACATTTGTCGTAAAATTTCTTGCTTGCCTGCCTCTCCTAGGATTTTCGATCATCTAAAAAATGGTAGAACTACCCATTTTTAACCGATTTTTACCCTAAAAAGGTCACCTAGAATTTTCGGGAGCCTTTTTTCGGGCTTTTTTCTTTTCTTTTTCTTTCTTTCTTCTTTTTTTTACCATTTCTGGATATCAAAATGGATCTTATTATATTTATATATGATGAAGGCGAGTCCCGAAACTATTTTGTCAGGCTTGAATTGTGCTTACAATTCACTCAAACCGTGTAAGTTACGAGTGGACTAAAAGGAATTTTCCCAGGGGAAAGTCGGCGAGGATCTCGTTGGGGTATCAAATTAATAGAAACTGTATATGCCAGTCTCACTTAGGATAATCAGAGGCCGGAAATCAGTATTTTTACCATGAAGGTATGGCATAGGGTTGTGCGCAGGAAAAATATCTGCATAATTACAAAGAAAAAAAGCAGTTATACTGCAGTGCCGGAATGGGGTGTCCAGTCTGGGTTCAAACAAAACCAGTGCGCCACTGTAAGTTGAGGTATTAAATGTGTTCTTTCGATTAACAAAAAGAAAAATTGACAGGCACTTTAAAGGAATTTATCCTTTTCGGTTACAACTTGGTGTTACGCAGCGCGAATTCATGCTAATTAGTAGATGTGGATTCATCATGCTTTCGTAGTTACAGTCGTTGCACGGTTTCGTGGTTTTAAAGTTATATTTAGTATAGACATTTGCAACTGCTAATTAGCATAAATTCTTGCTTTAGTAACACCAAGTAATAACCACCTTTTCACTCTCTCAAATATTCGTTTTTCTTTCCATGCTAGGCATTGACGAATGTGCTAACAACGACCACACATGTCATGTCAATGCGTCATGTTACAACACCGAAGCGTTTTATTTATGCGTCTGTAAGCGTGGATTCTACGGGAATGGGACTTGGTGTACTGGTAAGTAACAAATTCATGAAATGCCATGCATTGTTTCGCCCCGATGTAAGGGAATCTGCACTCCGGGACATGTTTTCTTGTCGAATCCGGAATCCGGGAAATTTCTCTTTTGGAATCTGGAATCGTCATGACTCGGGAGAAGGGGGGGAGGTGCTTGAGTTAATTTTTGCTACGGTATGTGCCGCTGGCCTCTCGGAGCCCCTACCCCATTATAGTCCATTCTGTGGCCAATCATAGACCCTATTTTACTCACTTTTGGGCAAATGTGTAATTTTCGCGATCCCAATTCAGTCACTTTCTCAACCTCGTCCCCAGGGCTTTTCCCTTAAAAAATGGGTGGGGCGGGGTTAGGTTTAAGGGAAAAGCCCTGGGGACGAGGTTGGTCACTTTCTATTTGTGTATCTACCTTACTGATTGAATGAAGAGCACTTTATTTTTCACCCACAATACAAACATTCTGGTATGTTTGCTAAACGTAAATATGAAGAACTGACTTACTCCAAAAACCACAAAATGTGCGACCCCATTATAATCAATCCAGTCGTGAAAATGCGACCCCATCCAGCCGCAATCCCCCTTAGCTTCTCATAAGGAAGTACCCCCAAGGTTGTCAGGATGGTGGCGTTTGGAATCCGGAATACAGATCAAGGAATCCGCAATCCCACTAACGATTGGAATCCGGATCCAAGTTCCTCTGACAAAGAAGCCTGAATCCAGTATCTTGCATCTGGAATCCAAGGCGTGGAATCCAGGATCACCAAGGGTCTCTTGGATTCCCGAACATGGGGCGAATGGAGCGAGCGCGATTGGTCCTTTGCACAATTCAGCCACATGCTCGGGCTGCTTAACAACGGCTCGCTAAACGGCAAGCCATTCAAGCGTTCATTCAGATCACAAAACTTTGGGTGTGATCGGGCGAAGCCTTCTTAGGTTAATTCAAACGTCTTTAAGTCTTGTAGTCCAGTGATGTCGGTTTATTTTCAACAGAGTCATTAAACTAGGAATGCTCATCGATGGCCCTCAAATGAACTCTTGGATGGCTTTCTATCCAGCGAGCCGTTGATAAGTTCTATCCAAATACGTGACAGGGTTTTGCTAAGAGCCAATAGTCTTCTGGCCTCTCCACAGATCGTTAGTCTATGAACTAAGTAACCAGGCCAGTGTTCACGTTATACAGGTGATCAATAGAGAGGTTGATCATCTCGTTTACGTCAAACGGCAAACGCGAAGTTGTACCACGTGACCAAGTTTTCCCATTACTTGTCGTTTACTGTTCATTATTTCTACACATAAATTAGTAGTTTCACGTAATTTTTCATCCATAAGAATTGTTTTGAGCTGTTTTTATCTGCTCATTTTCTATTTTGAGAAAGTTTCAACTTGAATCTGACGTTCGCCGTTTGCCGTATACGCGAAGCTGAAAACTCTTTTAACGTGGTGGTCTCGGTAAAATTAAAGGAAAGAGGTAAGGCAGATTGGAAGTCTGGCTAGCCCTCTTTCTCCCTCTGATTTTGAACAACTCTGATTGAACAAGTCTGATACAACTAATATGATTATAAACGATAACACTGAAATAAATTCGATACAACTGGCTCATGAACGGCCTATTTTTACTTAGTATTGCTTGCCGGTCTATGAAAAACTTATTTTTCAAAGGACCGTTACTGAGGAGAGCAACGAAAGTATTTTACATTGGTGGCCTGATCGGCCACGCTCAAAACCCTTTTTATTCCCGACTTCCTAGTATCCTCAATCACGGAAGGTTTTTAAAAGCTCAATTTGTGCCGAACTGGAACCAGAATATATTGAAGTTCTCGGGTTCAAACCCTCGGACCCATCCGAGCCTAGAGATCATGAACGGGGCCCCTTCATACTCTCTTACCGCCGAGACTGACTTAGGGTGCTTAAATTAATGCAATATAAACTAAAGAGAAAATCTGACTTAGAACCTGGTTTTTAAAAGCCTTTTGAGATAAAATTTGCCTGTTAGACCCCTTCTCAAATACAAGAACCTGTTTGGCCTAAAAGTTGAAACGGGTTCTTATTTTTTAAAATCGAAAATTATTTACACTCGGGCAAATAGGATAAGTCAACATTCAGGAACCTCTTTGGAGGCTTAGGTGTCTTACTACTCCAACTGCAATTATTGCAATCCCAAACAGGTATACAGGGTTTGAGGTGAACACCACTTAATGCTCTTAGCTACAATGTATTTTTTTTCTTCAGAAAATAAGAACCTATTTAAGAACCTAAGAAGTGTGCTCTTGAGCAAACATTTATCAAAGAACCTGTGAAGGCTAACTTGGGAAAATAAAGGCCTTAGTCGAGTTTTTTTACTGTATTACTCTGTTAGTTGAAATCAAGGGCGGATCCAGAATATTTTTTAGGAGGGGGTGCACTTGTCTCTTGCTCTACTTCAACACCAATACACCACATTTTTTTTTTTGCAGAATACCAGTTGTATTAGAAAACCGCAGGTCATCTCAGGGGAGGGGGAATGCGCACCCCCTGCAACCTCCCCCTAGATCCGCCCCTGTAAATACTTTCCTCATTTGCTTTTCCTTTTCTCTTATTCAAGATATCGACGAGTGTACAGCCAACATTCATCGGTGTAATTTAAATGCGTCATGTACAAATAACTTGGGATCTTTTACGTGCAACTGCTTTCCTGGATTTTCTGGAGATGGTCAAACTTGCAGTGGTAATGACATTTCTGGGCTGTGATTTTTAAGGGCTATGATATGCAATTTGCTATAGTTTTGAAAAACTAAAATCCGTCTTCGCATCATTTGGTCCAGGTTTGTTTGAAGAGTTTAGGCACTGAATCTGTTTCCTACCGTCTATTGCTAAGGATGACAAGGATAAACATGGACTGAAACCTAAACAAATTGGACCAACTTTTTCGAGTTTTCAAATATTAAGGTTATAGTGCTCCCTGATGAAGCTGGTTTGATATATTTTTCATAACTCTAAAGAAACAATTTTTGTATGGGTTTATTCATTAATTAATGACTTCAGCTCAGAATGAAATGACATAAAAGAGCAACATCTCGGTGTTGCCCGTTTATAATAACCGGCTAATCCCATGTATTACGAAAGTCACCCCCAGTTGCTCGATCTTTTTGCCAGAGTTTCGACGGAGAAGCCGAGTTCACCAAAATGCATTTGCGAATGTATTTGGAATACATTATAGTATTTCACCGATCAAAAATATGCTGAAACAACAAGAACTTACGTACACTTACTGTTTTATTTCGTTCTCTATGAAGTTCAGATCTTTCTGGAATGAACAACAACAACAAAAAATTAAAAAGAATTCACGAGGCTTCCAAGAAGTGTACCAATATAACCAAAATGGAAAGACATAGATATATATTAATTGAAATTAGTGCCTTGTTTTTCTCAAAAACGTCTATGCTGTGCATCTTTTCAGCGTTTTTTCGACGGTTTATCAGTGTCTAGAAAAGTCAGGAGATCTTACCCAGAAATGGGGTCAACGTGATACTCAAAAATGCGGTTCTCATAAAAGCACCCGCTTCTGCAGGTTATCCCCCGGCTCAAACCGTGAACGCATGGAGTTTACGGTTTCATTCACTCTTAAATACTTTTGCTTTCTTTTTTTCAGATATAAACGAATGTACCAGCAACACACATTCATGTTACGCCAATGCAACATGTCAAAATACCATTGGATCACATTACTGCGCATGCATGTCTGGATATACCGGAAATGGACAGAACTGCATCGGTAAGATAGTCGCCTTATGTTTTCTCGTCGTACAGTTTTGCAGCCTAAACAAAAACACTGGGTCCTATGCTTTGCGAGCAACAAATCCCGCCATAAACTTGAAGCCCATGCCACTTATATGCTGGCTTAAGCTCCTCCATGCCATATGAGGCATGCAAGAACTATAGCAGCGAAATCACTAAGAAAAACATACATAAGCTTAGGCACCAAAATGAAAAGAAAATTTTGAAACTTAATTTTGACTAATTACAAAGCGGCTATAGGATGGATTTAAAACCAACATTGACTGCTGGAGCTGAATTGACCAGTTTAGAGAAAGATGCTGCAGGGAGCGTGGACTTTGGCTAGCTTAGCGAAAATACTGATTATACAGAAAAGCAAGCGGATTAAGTGCTATTCACCACATCCATACATCAAAACCCATCATGGTCCTTGCCGTGTTATACAAAACTGTTTAAAAGATGAAACAAACAAACAAACAAACAAAACAAGGAAAAATGACCATCACTAGTTGGAATCCATACCCTTTTCCTCTTGTGCATCCATGGATTAAATGTTGAAAGGACTTATAATTTCTCTGTTTGCACGCTTTTCTTGATTTGTCAACCTGTCATTATCATTTACCGATATTTCTCTCTATAGATGTTGACGAGTGTGCGACCAATACCCATTCATGTGATGCCAATGCTTATTGTAATAATACCATTGGATCATTCAATTGCACCTGTAATCCTGGATACAACGGAACGGGAACATATTGCAATGGTTAGTATTGCCTTTATTGGCTCTTAAAAGCGGATTAGGTGGCAACGAGTCGGATGAACAACTATGTGGCGAGATAACAAAGACATTTGATATCGATATATAAAATAACATTAGCCTAGGTCTACGGATTATCCATCTAGAAGTGAAAACGGGACGATGTTCAATTTGGACGGATAATTCGTCTGATTTCATCCGTCTTTTTATCCGTCTTTTTAGACGGATAATTCGTCTTGAATTCACATCAGACGGATAAACTGATCCCAGTTGTTACCTGACATGCATAGAACTAGAAAGGGTGCGTTAGATGACACCCAAAGAGCCATCAGCAATCGTAACATGAAAGAGGAAGAAGGGGTCGAAAGTGGAAAAATCACAAACAGAAAAGCAAAACCCTGATCATTATCCCACCAAAAAAGGTTTCCCGATCCTTCGTTTTCCATTCGTTTTAGAGTTTCTAAGGGTTTACCCCAGCTACATACTACTGGATGCACAACCCCTCAAGGGTCGGCTCTGAAGCGTTTCCAGAGTGCTAAATTTCAAAGCTTTTCAATAAAGTGGTAAACAAGAACTTTCGAGTTTCCTCTTCTTGACATCAAGTAAGCGTTTAATGGTTTGGTAACCGCGCCAGAGCTTCGAGACCTGGCACATCTGTCTTATGTCAATATGACGTGGCAAGGCCAATTTGAAACTCACATTAAGATGGAAAATATACCAGACGGATTATTCGCTTTGACGTTTTATCTTTCTCTGGTGTGAACAAGGCCATTATGCTTTGACGTAACGTTTGGTTTTTCTGTATAAACAGATCGTTATTGCATTAATAGTGCGTCCTCTGCCACCGATGTTTAGAATGAAATAGCACTGCGTTTAGTTTCTACAGTATATAATCTCTTGCTACAACTAGTGACAGTAGGAGAATGGTTGGGCTAATGCTAATTCATTTTCACTGCACGAATAGAGAAAACATCCCTTCAAGCAATATAAATCTTTTGCCGATAAAATAAACCAGTATATATACACTGGTATAACCAAAGGAAGTAAAGTTAGTCTTGTGCGGCTTTTAATTTCATTTGACTGACTATAAGCAGTTTTTAATACCGTGTTTTTATCAATGTTTTTATCCCCCGCTCCCCTCTGTTTGTTTCGCTTCGTTGTTTGATTGTTTTTGTATCTTTTTTGTTGTTGTTTTTACTTCGTGTTGACACTGTCAATACGTATTCTTTAAATTATGGAGTATACGTTTTATATCTGGAAAAAAACACTGTCAGTACGTTTACTTTAATTTGTAGAGTATACGTTTTTATATCTGAAAAAAAAAAAAACACTGTCAGTACCTATACTTTAATTTGTAGAGTATACGTTTTTATATCTGAAAAAAAAAACTCTGTCAGTACCTATACTTTAATTTGTAGAGTATACGTTTTTATATCTGAAAAAAAAAAACACTGTCAGTACCTATACTTTAATTTGTAGAGTATACGTTTTTATATCTGAAAAAAAAAAAAACACTGTCAGTACCTATACTTTAATTTGTAGAGTATACGTTTTTATATCTGAAAAAAAAAAAAAACACTGTCAGTACCTATACTTTAATTTGTAGAGTATACGTTTTTATATCTGAAAAAAAAAACTCTGTCAGTACCTATACTTTAATTTGTAGAGTATACGTTTTTATATCTGAAAAAAAAAACACTGTCAGTACCTATACTTTAATTTGTAGAGTATACGTTTTTATATCTGAAAAAAAAAAACTCTGTCATTACCTATACTTTAATTTGTAGAGTATACGTTTTTATATCTGAAAAAAAAAAAAAAAACACTGTCAGTACCTATACTTTAATTTGTAGAGTATACGTTTTTATATCTGAAAAAAAAAAAAACACTGTCAGTACCTATACTTTAATTTGTAGAGTATACGTTTTTATATCTGAAAAAAAAAAAAACACTGTCAGTACCTATACTTTAATTTGTGGAGTGTACTTTTTTATATCTGGAAAAAACATTAAACGCTTTCTTAAAGTCATCTAAAGCACATGTGTGCAATTTTTTTTCCTTCTCCTTTTAGACGTAGACGAGTGTACAACAAATCTCCATACCTGTACCCATTCCAACGCTGTTTGTAACAACACCGCTGGCTCTTATTACTGCGGCTGCCGTTCTGGATATTCTGGAAATGAAACAGTATGCTTTGGTAAATATTAAGCTGAAAAAGAAAGAAAAATTTTCTCGCGCTTCCCCGTTGACAAGAATTTTCATTGCGTAAGCACAATTGACAGATCAAAAGTTTTCCACTTATATTACGTCGCGGGTCTTGCTAGTTCCTTAAAAATGACCTTCCAATACCAAAAATAATGTGCGAGCGCCTGTGAAGATGTGTTAGAAACCAGGCTAAGAGCATAATGGGTGAGGACATTTCACGCGTTAGTTTGACTTTTCATAACACTGTGATTGAGGGGAATGCAAGATATTCAGCTACTTGAGCTTATCATGAATGAATCCTGTTTATGTTTTCTTCGTTTGGCTCAGTGCGTATGTGTATACTTGCCAGAATATGCAGAGCAATAGAACATCGATCTTTAAAACGTGAATTTATCCTTAGAGAGTGATTTGCGTGGGATAAACAGTGATTAAAAAAATGACTTTTGGGTGGAACCATCGTGGTCTGTTTACTGACAGAAATTTTGGACAAATTCTATCTTACCAATTGTGTTTATTTCTGTCTCTGTGGTTTTGCTTTTTCTCCAGGAAATAAAAGCGTTATTCGATAAACCCTTTAATATTTGAATATTTTCTTCTTTACTCAGATGTGGACGAATGCGCAACTAACGCTCATTCATGTCATGCCAATGCATTCTGTAATAATACCGTTGGATCTCATAACTGTACTTGTTATTCTGGATACAGTGGCGATGGACAAAACTGCACTGGTAAATATTACAGCCTCATCTTCTAGAACAGAATTAAGTTACAATCTCCTCTGGCTAGAAACAGACTTCAAGTGTGGATAAATCACGAAGCGAACCCTAGCAAAACAAAGCAAAAGTGGAACTACGGCTGCTAGTCTCCGAGTAGAATTAAAAATTATTATGATAATTAAGAGGTTTAATGAGAGTGTGACTGTTTTATATGCTTATCCCTCGCTCCATAGTTTGGCCAGTTTAATAAGCCAGAGTAGTCCTAAGATCGTTAAAAAAATTCATGCGAAATAAAGCACGTTTCTATTCTTGAACTTATTTTTCTAGATATCGATGAGTGTGCAACTAACGCCCATACGTGTAATCATGCCAATGCTGTTTGTAATAATACCGCTGGATCTTATTATTGCACTTGCAGTCCTGGTTTCTCTGGAAATGAAACATCGTGTACTGGTAAATGTCTTTCAATTTATATTTTGATCGTTTGATTATATATTTTGGCGTACGTTTTGGTGTGCTGAGTGGTTTATGATCTCTTAGAGCGTTCTTTTATATTATCTGCAAGGAAAGTTGATTCTTGCAGCGCCAAATCTCTCCAGTAAAGCCATACCTTGATAGGCTGGTTAAAAGACAGTTTAAATCTAATCTGTGACCAGGCTAGGTAGTTAAACGGGCGAGAAAGATGTAAGAGAACTGAGAGAGGACGTTAAAAAATTCGAATTTGTCTTGTTCAAACTTTAGAGCTAACTTTGGAGCCTTACCATTATCACCCCTCCAAGAAACTTGTAGAATAATAATGCATGTCCTCGCCCTGTGAAATTGATTGTTTTAGGAAATCCCTCCTTCAAAGATCCTTGAAAAACGCCTAATTAATTGTTCACTTGTCACAAGCCTTTATTCTGAACGCCTTTGAGAAAGAGCGCCGCCTGGAAGTCCTCTGAACAGATTCTAGACTCTGGGTGTAAAAATGAACAAACAAGCAACAGAAACAACCAGCCAGTTCTGAAAAGACTGCGCTTCGTAAAAGGAAGAACGAATGAAATTTCGGGGCTTTTAAAAAGTAGTAAAAACAGCCTTAAAACTTTGGTGAGGCTTATTAAGTAGAGGATGCCAAAAAAACTGGCCTTAACTCAGGTTCCACAGCGATATCGTCATTTATTTCGCTCTTTTCTTTTTCTTTTTAGACATTAACGAGTGTGTAACCAACACCGATAACTGTGACGTCAACGCTTACTGTAACAATACCGTTGGGTCCCACAACTGCACTTGTAATCCAGGATACACCGGAAATGGAACAACATGTGAAGGTTAATGAAAACAAACGTGCTCATCATAATATTTTTGCATTGGCCAAATAAAATAGAATATACATGATAAAATGCCCAATTTTCAGCAATGCGCTACTGCGCGCGGAAAGTGTGAGCATAAGTCTTGTTTGTGTGAAGCCTTGAAAATTTTTACAGTCCGCGGTCGCAACTTTCACCAAATTTAACATCATGAGTCAGATCGGTCTTTTCTGATCATCGTGTCAAATTCATATAAAAAGAAACACGATGTCTTTATTTTCACGCTCTAAATCGAACGGCATTTTTTTTAATTGTGGGCGAAATAACAAATCTGATTGATTCGATAACTGAATAGGAAAGTTGGTGTCAAATACTGATCATGAAGTTTCGACAAACTGTTTGACGGTCAGCTTTATCCACAAACCTTTCATTCGGGCCTCTTAAATCGGATGCTAAGTTCAGCTATTGAAATGGAAGGCTTAATACGCAGCAATCATTCAATTAAAATGCATGCTAATATGTAATGCATATCTTTTTACCTCCGTTTCAGACGTCAACGAGTGTACAACGGCGTATCATAATTGTGATTCCAATGCTTTCTGTAACAACACTGTGGGATCGTTTAACTGCACCTGCACCGAGGGATACTCTGGAAATGGAACATCATGCAGCGGTAAAAATGATATTTTCTATCGGTACTGATCTGACATTCTATTACAAATCAACTGTAAATAGACAAAATTAAACTCAACCGATACAGTGCCTTGGCTTTTTGCTAGCACATAAAAAAACAAACAAACAAACAAGAAACAGTTAACAAAACGAAAAATAAACAACGACAACTAAAACTACAAGAGGGGAAATTCTTATAGAGTTGTAAAACACTTATTAAAAGCTCAATTAGCACTTTCGTCACTAGTGATTAGAGCTTAATTTTGTCCTGCCTAAACAAACGTCGTAAGAACGTAAAACTTTGCGGGAGCAATTGCAAAGCCAAATGAAAAACACAGGTAAACATACATATCTATCTAGACATACATGTCTTGATGAGGGCTAGGTATGTATTCCTCATAGGAAGTTAACGAAGATTTTTTAAATAAGAGAACTGTATTGTTATCATCAATTTGCACTCTAATTCCCACCCTCTTGTTGTCAGGATGCTTTCTTAATTTATATCAATTAGCAGCTACTGCGACGCGATGCCATTTGCGCGATCTCATCATTTTACTACTAACACTAGAATCTTTTTCTTTTTCCTTTCTTATATAAATTTTGTATATCACAGGAAGTTTTAAATAACAAAGGCCCTAATATGTACAAGAAACCCAATACCATGGAAGATTCTGGTCGTATTAGTATTAAATTATGACGCCAATATGGCCAAATGTCCTATTAAAGCCATTATTTTATCACTCTGCATTCACATTTAATTGCTTATTAATATTGTTTAGATATTGACGAGTGTGCGACCATGAACCATTCGTGCCATGTCAATGCCTATTGCAACAACACTATTGGATCGCACAACTGTACCTGTCACGCTGGATACACTGGAAATGGAAGAAACTGCTCTGGTAATTAAGAAAATGATTAAAGATTTCATTCCTCGTTTTTAGTTTAACTTATTTGTTTATATTTTGTTTCACTATAGTCAAACTGTAGCACTTTGTTATAAAGATTCCGAGTTTTCGATTCGATTTCTCACTCCTGGTCTTCATCAAGTAATGGTGTCTCTGTCTCTCTTTTCTAGATATTGACGAGTGTACAACCGGCAACCACTCTTGTGATGCAAACGCCTATTGTAATAATACCATTGGATCACTCAACTGTACCTGTAACTCTGGTTATACTGGAGATGGGCAAACGTGTTCAGGTGAACGAATTGTCAATTGAATTTTATAGCCGACTCACTTCTTTATTGCCTACTGGTACATAACTTATTTGTCAAATTACATAAAATGTTTACACACACGGAAGGAATTAAATCGAATTAGCTCGTGAAAGGTTATCTTTGATTTTCTGTTTCTGTCAAATTCAACGATATTGTTGCCTTAACTGTTTCTCTTCTTTAGATATTGACGAGTTCATTTAAGTTCTACCTCCTGTCCCTCTTTTAGTTTACCTACCTGTTCTTCCCTTTGTCTGTCTGTCTGTATAGTACAGATTGAACAGTTCTGATCAGCTTTTTCTATTCTTTATCTACTATCCTTTTACCTTAATTTTTTTTAAAATATGAAATACTAGAAAAAGAGCTGTACAGAAGACAATTAATAATTCAGCCCATGTTTTATTATTTATTTCTTTTTAGATGTTGACGAGTGTATAGCCCAGACTGATAATTGTCATGTTAACGCTTTTTGCAACAATACCGTGGGGTCATTTAACTGCACTTGTCTATCTGGATACTCTGGAAATGGAACAACGTGTGTTGGTGAGTATCAACTTCTGATCTTTTATAGTTATAAGGCAAGGCCTACCTTTGTAAAGTTCTTGGAGACTGCCTCAAACCCGAGGTTACCATGCTGAGCTAGGGGAGGGTTACTCCGAGTTTTCCACCAAACTGGTCCCCAGACTTTTACGGGGAAACGCCCTGGGGACCCTGGGGACAAGGTTGGTTTTATATTCACTCGTTCAAGAGATCTGACAAGTGTTTTTTGGGGTATAGTACTTGTACAGTTTTAGAATGCTCGTTATAACAAAAAGGATTAAGTCCGCTTTGAGCTCGAGTTTGCTTTCTTCACATTTAGACTTCATGTAATGAGTTATGTGCTATAAAATGAACGGGTTCAGTTATTTTGTGGTTTGAATAAATAAAGAACTAAATGATAGATGAATGAATAAAGATACTAGATAAATAAATTGATATATAAGTAAATAATCAAATAAATATTGAATGGACCTCTACATCTGGCCCAATGTAATCGATTTATGATATTTTACATTTGCTTCTTCCATTAGATGTTAACGAATGTGCAGATAACACCGGTTCGTGTGATACCAATGCTTATTGTAATAATACCATTGGATCTCATAACTGCACTTGTTACTCTGGATTTTCTGGAGATGGAAAAAATTGCACTGGTAAGTTTCTTCACGAAAAGGGCTGCCTTTGTTCAATGGTGTCTAGCTGGCATTATGTTTAAATGCTGACGGCATAGCCTCGTGTTTCGCCGAATGTTCTAGGCTTTTCATTACTACCATTTCTGGGCGCCGTAATAGAGGTTTAAAATTGATTTTCAAACAAAACAGTGTTATAAATTCCTTTATTTGTATGTTGTTGTATTCTTTTCTGGGCGAAGGTATTTGCGTGTGGAATCCGGCCTCCCGCTAACGGTTAGAATTCGGAATCGAATCCAGTTCCTGGAATCCGGTTTCCACGTCGTTGAATCTAGATTCCAAGACTCTCTTGAATTCTCTTACTTGAGGCAAGAAGCTCATTACTTACGTTTTCAAACTACTCGCCCTTCCACTGACTCATGCCCATAGTTAGCCTCAATTAACAAAACAATTCTTCAATTTTTAACGATCACTGCCTTTTTTTCTTCTTTCTAAGATATCAACGAGTGTTCAACCGGCTATGATAACTGTGATCGTAACGCTTACTGCAATAATACCATGGGTTCTCACAACTGCACTTGTAATCCAGGTTACACCGGAAATGGGACATGGTGCACTGGTAAATGAAAATGATAAAGATTGTGTGGAATAAGGCGGTAACAAAAAGTTTTTTTTAGAGTCGCTGGTTTTAAGCCATCCATTTTCTCTTAGCTTTGTTGTTTACTTTTCTCATTATAACATGTAAAGTTCCTTACGATGTCCTTAAGTCTTACTAGTTTCTCATTGCTTCAAAGTATTCAAGCAGAGATACAATATATGAGGTTATGTGTTTTAAACGTCGGCAAGTCAATTAATACCTCCTTTTTTGCTACAAAACTGCAACACTCTTCAAATTCCCAATGATTGGGTTGCACAACTATGGCCAAAGTTAACCTTTATTGACTGACATCTCTAATGCGACCGCTTCCGCTTAAAATTTAAAAAATTTACCTTACTCATTGTCTCATGTTATCTTGACAACCTCGAATATACAGTATTTCACGCGATTCGATGCAGAAACAACAACTGTGGTTCCTTTCAGATTTAGACGAGTGCGCAACTAACACCCACTCTTGTGATGCCAATGCCTATTGCAACAATACGATTGGGTCTCATAACTGCACTTGTTACTCTGGATACAATGGAACTGGTTTACTTTGCGATAGTGAGTATATGTAGTAAACGTGAGTTTCACTATAGACAGTATTACTACCAGCTAAGCTGTTATTTGGAATGAGCATTTACCTAAATCCATGTTAACATCTTAAACGAAAGGCCCAATCATGCGAGCCATTACCCTCTAAAACCAAACACTTAGGAGCGGTCTTATGGACATTTAGTGGCCCAGTTGCCTTTACTTTCACAATGGACGCTTCGCATACTGAACTCAGTTAGTATCAGATCCTGAGACTTGAGGGTATTAAAGTTAAGGCTCGAACGATCATCTTGCTGCCATAGCACTGAGCCGAATGACCCGGTTTTCAAAATGAACAAAAAGCTTTCATAAAAACTCATATTGCCAATTTTCTCATATAAACTAAAAGAATTGCGTGACATGTTTCTACATGATGTTTTACGTTTCCAAGACAACCAGCCACTCAGCGAGTTAACATCATACCACTGCTTTTGAAATCATTCTGGATAATTTTCAAGTAAACCGAAAATCCAAGATGGTGGATAAAAAATACTGGTTATATTGATTTATTACGTATTCGTTACGTCAGCTATCTCCACCAGTTGAAGTAACTACCTTGGCGTGCTTCGACGTTTTCGAATCTTAAATTATATTTAATACTTTCATTTTCAAAAGCATTTGAGCGCATGTACAAGTGTTAAAATTTATTATTCGCTCTCTATGAAATGATAACCCGATCTCATCCTCAGAAACTCAGATCCGATACATAACAGTGCTGTTATTCAATCATAGAATTACTGATAATAAATATTTGAAATGCTTTCATCACTGTGAAATAATTTTGCGTCATCTTCTCCAGACATCAACGAGTGTACAACAAACGCCCATGACTGCGATCCTGATGCATTTTGCACTGATACCGATGGATCGTTTAATTGCACCTGTAATTCTGGATACACTGGTAACGGAACATCATGTACTGGTGAGCATAAGTTAGTGTAAATGTTATTGCCACTTTCATTTTCTTTTTAAAAAAGACACCTTTTAGCAGAAACTAAACAATCAAATTTTTTGCAGTTGTTTTATTTGTATTTTTGTTATTATAAAGTCAAACCCTACCCCACCCCCCAGCCGTCGTCCTCTTCACGAACGCCTGTCTATTAAGGACAGTTCTCTTTAATCCCACCTCTGTACAGAACAACTTTTAACTGAGCATGGTTCTGTTCCCTTGGTTTTCTTTATCAGGTGATGTGACTGTAGTTGAGGGAGTTGGCAGAAAAATATTATCTCTTGTACAGCAATACTCTTATAGTAATCAAAGTTGTAAGTACTGATTAATGCAAAGGTGAAACTTCAATCTTAATTTGTTTCTTGTAGACTTTGACGAATGTGACACAGGTGCAGATTCATGTGATACAAATGCCTATTGCAACAACACTATCGGGTCTCACAACTGTACTTGTTATTCTGGATACACAGGAAATGGAACAACATGCACTGGTGAATATTCAGCTATTTAGTTTCGTAGTTTGACATAATTCCCACAACGTGCCATCGCCCTTCCTGAATGATTTTACCGCAGTTCTTTGTTTTTGGTAATGTTTCGTTTATTTTCATTTTTATTTAACAAGATAAAGTTTCGTAGTTTGACATAATTCCCACAACGTGCCATCGCCCTTCCTGAATGATTTTACCGCAGTTCTTTGTTTTTGGTAATATTTCGTTTATTTTCATTTTTATTTAACAAGATAATTAATTTTAACAAGATAATTGAGTTAGCTTTTAAATAAAGTACGCATCTCTTGTTTTTCAAACTTTAGTGCTTTTCAATGCTTACTATTTATTAATGATGGACTATAGTGAATTCAGTGATATAAGTCATTAAAAGTCCTCTTTACTGCGCACACAAAAAAAGACACACCCACTCAAAGGTCGGTATACAAGCTGTCTTCTGATTAACTCTATAAACAGTAAGATAATGTCTTCCCTCTCCCCAAAGGTACAACTCACGCTTTTATCTCCGTATAGACATCAACGAGTGTTCAGACAACAGCGATAACTGTGATGTCAACGCTTATTGTAACAACACTGTGGGTTCTTACAACTGCACTTGTAACCCTGGATACACCGGAAATGGAACAACATGCACAGGTAAATATCTTTTTTTCCTCCTGAATATTTAGACTCGGCATGATATATATCAATTTGTGTAGAAGACATTTAAAAAAAATACGTGACTAGCGTCTCACATTGTTAAGAATATTGACATTCAGGATGCAAAAAGTCGTCAAAATGAACCCCCAACCCTTAGAAAAATAGTGGGTTAAAATCTATTTTTCTGAAAAAGCCCGATTATAAAAACGTTTGATATGAACTCTTCCCCAGTAGTTAGAGAGGTCCTAACCCAGACAACAAGTAAACAAAAAAGAAAAAAGGAAGGAAATAAAGAAAAGAAAAAATAATAAGGAAAAGAAAGGGAGAAATTGGGGGGGGGGGGTGAAGATCTAAGTGAAGATCCAAGTTTATCAGAACAGCTAATGCGGTGCTTAATCGGGACCTCGAGTCTCATTCTAAGCTGATTTAATTTATCTTTCAGACGAGGATGAGTGTGCACTCGGCACCGATTCATGTGATGTCAATGCTTACTGTAATAACACCGTGGGATCCTATAACTGTACTTGTTACCCTGAATACACTGGAAATGGCACCTCATGTACAGGTAGATTCTTGGATAATACAATATCTTTTTACCATGTTTTGTTGTTATTGAGAAATGCTACTGGGGTTTCAAATGCCCTTTTAAATTCGAATGTTTGTAAGTCTTTTATTAGGTGTCTGGGGCGTCCGTCGGTGATACTGAAATGGCCGAAATTTAAAACACCCATCGCGCTGAAATGTTTCTCTTCAGCATCTGTTGTATTTTTTTCTCAGATTTTGACGAGTGTGCAAACAACACCGATAATTGTGATGTCAATGCTTATTGTAACAATACCGTGGGGTCCTTTAATTGCACGTGTAACTCTGGATACACAGGAAACGGGACAACATGTGCTGGTAAATATGATTACTTTGTTCTCGATGAAGTTCTTGTATTTATTTTTCATACATTGCTCAAAGTAATGGACCTGTTGGTTCCTTTTCTCTCGAAATAAAAACCAACTAAAAACCACATTGGTACATGCTCAGTTTCTTCCGTTTTTTTAACTCAAGAAGCGCGCAGGTCTTACTAAACCTACTTACTGAAAGCATTTTGTAACGTCGCCTAAAATCCTTTAAGAATGACAGAATACTTAATCATTAATGCACTCAAAACAATAATTATGAATAGGAGCGACATTAAAACAGCGAAGTGGAAGGTATACTGTGCCTCAGCTTCTGGTTTTAGACGCGACTTTGATTGACAGTTAAATGAACACGTGATAATGGTGATTCAGCTTTCGCGTTTAACAGTCGACTCCTCGACATATACATAGTACGTTCTTGTTAGTATAGCAAAATTTCGAGCATAGAACATAAAAGATATGTTCCAGTGTATGCTTTAAAAATATTATGCAGTGAATATGATGTCTGCCGGAAAAATCTTTATGACTTTCTAGTGCAGTGCTACAATAGTCGGGCAGAACCTAGTTGATAGATGATGTGGGTATGTCTTATGTTTATATATTAACGGAAAGCCAGTGTAATTTATCTTTCGGACGAGGATGAGTGTGCAATCAGCACCGATAGATGTCATGTCAATGCTTACTGTTGATTTTCGTTTTAGACATTGACGAGTGTGCAAACAACACCGACAACTGTGATGTCAATGCTTACTGTAACAATACCGTAGGGTCCTATAACTGTACTTGTTACCCTGAATATACTGGAAATGGCACCTCGTGTACAGGTAATTTCATGTATGACACATCTCCCAAACATACTTTATTGTTACTCAGTTCTCAATGTCTGTTCCCCAAATGCTACAGTCTGCCCCTCTTACATGCCTCCTAGTTTTATCTTTCTGTCCGTCCCTTTGTCTGTCTGTTTGTCTGTCCGTCCGTCCGTCCGTCCGTCTGTCCGTCCGTCTGTTCGTCCGTCCGTCTGTCTGTCTGTCTGTCTGTCTGTCTGTCCGTCCGTATGTCTGTTTGTTCAGCTTTGTGATCATGTGTACATGTGATCATGCTATGAGCACTTTCCTCTCGCTCCTGTAACTTTAAATAATATTTGAAGCGGCTAACATTTCACAATTCAGCGTGGTAAAATTCTTATGCTCAGCCATATTTCTTTTCTTAGATTTTGACGAGTGTGCAGCTAACTTCGATAACTGTGATCCCAATGCTTATTGTAATAATACTGTGGGGTCTTTTAACTGTACTTGTAACTCTGGATACACAGGAAACGGAACAACATGCACTGGTAAATATGATTTGTTTTTTCTCGATAACGGACTAAAAAACCTTTTATTAAACTAATTCTTTAAGAAAACTGAATCCAGAGTAGGTAAATCATTGCAACAAATTGAAACCTCAAAGTTGGTACATAATGTTTTTTTAGTTGATGAAATACATTGACCACCTTAGCAGAAGCTGACAACGTTATTCCATTGTCAAAGGGGAATGTAGCTGATTGTGGGTTGTGTGCTGTTTATTTAACGGATGTTGGATCTCTGCTTTTGCATTGTGGGAATATGGTAAGGTGGAAAACAGGAAAAAATAAGTTCCATTAAAAGCGTTTGTTTATTCCTTGAGGATAAAGCCTAGGTTGTCGATTGGAAAGATTTTCTTTTATGCCAGACTTTTGCGGCTTTCCGTGTTGCCTGGGTGAATCAGAACAGAAACTGCAGATTGTCATGTTCTGGCTGGAATGACTGGAAACATTTGAACTGTATGGTGAGCTGCTGGTTTCGTACCAGCAATGTATATTGTGCACTGATGATAATGAATGTACGTCAGTATAAAATATGCCTTTATAGTTACTGATGGTTTTCTTCCCACTTCTCCTAGATGTTGACGAATGTGCGGAAAATAGTCATAAATGTCATGGCAACGGTTACTGTAACAACACCGTTGGATCATACAACTGCACCTGCAATTCAGGATATTCTGGAAATGGCTTCAACTGTACTGGTAAAAATATAAACGTTTGCAATAGATATACCCGTGAGCACTAAACAAAGCGCCGGAATTAACTAAATTTAACCCCCTACTAGCCGTTACCTTCTCATAACCGCAAGGGGGACAATGCATGGGCCTTCAACTTTGTCTTTACCTTTCAATGACTGCCCCTAGAGAAGGGTCTTAGAACCAAAACAACGGTCGCAATACTGAGGTACAGCTAAGTTACTATGATTGGTTACGTTCACTGTACATTATTCCTCTCCTTGCCAAAATATGCACCCAATACAGTAGCCATCTGGGGCGAATCTATCTGTTTTGACGGGGTCTGGCCCATGGGGGCATGTTCCCAAGTGCTCTAAAAAGATAATTCTTGGGTTTCATCAAAAATGGAATCAACAGTCATATAAACCAGGAAAAGACTTTCCTCTATCAATGTATTTTTCTTTTCATCACAGTCATTTTTCAAGAGACAACATATAGTGTTTGTTGGCGATGTATGTCTACCTACGTTTTTCGATAGAGACCGAACGTGTTAAACGTTATTATTTCGGCTTAGGGAGTTCGAACGAACCACTCGAACCACATCTTGCCGGTTCCGCCCCAGGTAACTTACCTCCGTGAGTCTTCAGGGTAACAAGGTTTAACAACTTCATTTCCGAAAAGGGCGGGACTATCATTGCGCAGACGACTCAAACCAATCCTCTTGATTCTTTCTAACTTTTCGGGAAAATCTAGATCTATTACAGAATATTATATAATAGCCTATTAGATCGTTACACTATGATAGGAGTTAGTTACACCCTTGAGGCTAGCTGTAATGCTGGTTTTGTAAGCAGTCAGTTAAATTGTTTATTTGAGGGCTTTTTTGAAATTTTCATGTTAGATATTGACGAGTGTGCAAACAACACTGACAACTGTGATATGAACGCTTACTGTAACAATACTGTGGGGTCTTACAACTGCACCTGTTATCCTGGATACTCGGGAAATGGAACGACTTGCATTGGTGTGTAAATTTTGTTATCTTGGTTTTTAATGAATAACATGCTATTTCACTAAGGATATGGTAGTTAACTAAAAACTTATTTACACTGGAATATGGCTTTAATTTCTCATATTTTAGATAAAGTGTACGACACATCTTTTCAATTGTGGTGGAAAAGGAAATTACGAACAACCTAAGACTATTTCCTAAAACGCATTGTTCCTTCTCCTCTGGATATTATTACAAACTTTTGCGCGTTCACTTCACTTGAAATAATATAATAAATTATAAAACGAAAAAGATATGTGTCTGAAAAGTAAAATGCTATGTAATTTTAAAACATCTTAACTGTTAATACGTAAAGAAATGTTCTGGCAGTCATATGCATAGAAGCAATTTATGTTGCAAGAGAAGCATCAGCAGTAACAATAAATTAATAAAGAACTTCATCAATAGTGTTGGACCCCGCGGGACCTCTGCGTTAAAAGTGTGGTACTGAACTAAATATGCTACAAAGTTACCTAAGTGAATTTTTAATCATGCCCAGAGAATGAAATGGATGCAGGTTAACTAATTCATATAACTATAAACTAAGGATATGAAATAATATCAGAGAATTAACATTCGATGATGTTAAAGACCGCTTAGGAAACTCTTTAATTCATTTGAATTTACGTATTGGTGTCAGTGGAGTCATATCACGAGAATTTCAAGGTAAGCCTAGTGATAGGTAGTGTTTTGGTGGAAGTAAATTTAAAACTAAACTACATTTCTTTTTGTGCAATAGATATTGACGAGTGTTCAAACAACACCGATAACTGTGATGTCAATGCCTTTTGTAACAATACCATGGGGTCCCACAACTGCACATGTAATCCTGGATACACCGGAAATGGAACATGGTGCACTGGTAAAATAAGGCACCTTCTTACTTCTCAGATATTATTAAATTAAATAAAAGGTGGATTTAGGTCAACTGTAGCTACTTGAACAGATTTGGTGTGCCGTTTACTGTACAATGCAACATATAAAAAAACCTGCGAAAGTTCAGTGGTGATGGTAAGTCACTCTTTCAGTTAGTCAGTCTGTCTGTCTGTCTGTATGCCTGTCTGCCTGTCTCCCTGTCAGTTAGTCAGTCTGTCTGTCCGTCTGTCTGCCTGCCTGTCTGTCTGACTGTCTGTCTATCAGGCTAGCTCTGGCTCGATCGATCTTGTTACTACCCCATTGCTTGAAGATAAGTTCGTTTTCGTTGCCCGTTCTTCCTCTTCCCGTTCTTGATCTCTAGGTCTCTGACTGTCCGTAAAAAGGTCAACTCTGTTTTGTCGTTGGTTAAAATTTCTTCAATTCATTTTTTTGAAAGGTCATAAATACTGTGCAATAATCTTTCTTAATACTAAAAGCGCATTTCTGGTTCATCAAGTATTGTATTTTCTTCAATATTTCAGATATCGATGAATGTGCAACCAATACCCATTTATGTCATTACAACGCGACATGTAATAACACCATTGGTTCTCACAACTGTACATGTAATCCAGGATACACAGGAAATGGACAAAATTGTTCTGGTAAATATTGGGCGATTTTTTTTTCTGTTTTTGAAAAATATTTTTGTAGGTGACATGTCAGTGGAAATAGGTATTTATAAGGAAGACTTATGTTAATATAACGCACACCTTTATTATCCGAGGAGATAAGGTTCGTACTGTTGGTTAGCTCTTTAGCCCTATGAATCGAGGGTGACGAGGGAGAAAGGCAAGTCCGATAATGAACAAGACGAGAAATGAAAAAAAGTGGATGAGGAGTTTATGATAAATTCACTTATATTTGAATTAAAAACTATTGCGCTAAAACGTTTCATATCAACGTCATTATCAGGGAAAAAAATGTGTCTGTTGCAGCGTATAAATACTAATTTGCTTCATTAAAAACCTTATATAAAGTGTCAAGAATGTCAGTTGAAATAAAGAGTTTTGCACGCGATTAAATCAACCTGGGTGTTCGAGCTCGGATTGATCTCATTTATGAAGAGCATCTCTTAAATCAGGAATTCAAACTTCGTTTAGCACTTGCGAAGAATGCGAAATTGGCTTTCTTTGGGCTTACCTTATCGCCCATGGGTTTCCGCAAGGTGTTTACCGATAGCCGATAGCATGTTAGCGCATTTTTTTTATCCAAACATTTATCAAAATCGCTTCTTTCTTCGTATTTCCTTACATCGTAGTAAATGAAAAAACAAACATAATTATTTTCCAAGATTTGAGAAATAAATAATTCTAATCTGACTAGGAAAGATTTTATAAGTTTAGCTTAATTTCCAGTAAAGTTCTCTCTCAGTGACCACTTAGAGCTTTTCCAGTTTTTAGTGTCTGCTCATGTAGAAAAGTATATTATGCTCAATCTATGTTCATTTTCTCGCTTTAGATGTGGACGAGTGTGCGGACAACTCCCACAACTGCCCAGCGACATCGGTGTGTAACAATACCGTAGGCTCTTTCATCTGCACCTGCCCTGCACTTTTGTTTGAATGGGATGGAACAAACTGTTCTGGTAAGCATAAATATTACTTGTATATATAAAAAGAGCCGCTGAAACGGGAAAAACTTCACTCTTAAGCTAAACTGGCCTTCGCCTGTATTAATCACCTATGAGAAACGCTTGTCGCTGCAGGTCAAAATTTTTGACTGACACGGACGAGAGGTAAAGTAAGGGGGTTGGAGTGAGCTAGATATGATCAGAAAAAATCCCAGCTCCAAGATGGCAAACAAGATAATGGCCTTTAAGAATGATGTCACAGGTTCGCTGAATAATGATATACAACATGTTGCAGAGCTCATTGCAGGCTATCTATTAAACTTTTAATCTGTGCATAATATTTGAAAACTGAAAAAAAAACCAAGGGGTACTAAGCGAGTTTTAACAATTTTACCCAGTAATAGAATGTGTTTTCTTGTAACAAAACGCTGTGAGGTAATAGACATGACAAACCATCTTAGTCACACTGTGAATTTTTGGTGAAATTGCAAAGTTATAATTTTGAAATCCCTCGCAAACTCTCGATAATTTGAAGACCCAATTTACTGAGAATATTTTAAAAGAAATTGATGCGGGTGACAATCTCGGGGAGGGAGGGGTTGGGATGCTCGTCGTCCCGCTTAGGGGTGTAAATTTCGGATTTTGGTCTCATTTAGGGTGTTCTGGGCAAAACGCCATCATATTTAGTCGTGAAGATCTCGTTTAGGGTTGCACGTGAAAAAAATATTAAAATATATATGTTGTCTGTGTTTTAACATGGTATCTTTTAGGGCTCAAAAAAAGCTTGGGCCACGCCCAGATCGGTCTCCTTTAGGGGTTTAATTCAAAATTTTCGGCGTCCCCACCCCTTTCATATGCGGTGTCCCCCCCGGTGACAATTCCTGCCCTTTGGCATACATTTCGATTCATCTTAAATTTGGGCTTTTGAGTATCTTTTGAGTTTAAGGACGATTTTAAACATATCTGTTTTATCAATTAGAAATTTCAAATCTCCTTAGCAACGCTGGCAACAAGTTCCATTTCAATTTCACACAACTTTTACTTTACTTATTATATCTATTATACTACTACATCAGAAATTTCTGCAATTTGATTGGCTTAGAGCAGTGGTATTTCAGCTTAATTTGAAAAACCTACATGTGAAAATTACAAACCTTTTGCGGGTAGTAGTATACAAAAATAATAGTATGATTTGTACTTGATATTTGGCAAAAATACCACTTGTGATATTTTAGAATTGTCTCAAATTTCTCTCGCCTAACGGCGCGTGAAATTACGTATAACTAATTTGAAGTATCACTCGTGGTATTTATGCCAAATATCACTACAAGTCATGCTATTACCTATACTAATTTGCACTGAAAATAAGATTGAACATAAGGAGGTTTGTATCTCCGGCAGTGCAAACTTGTATCACAGTTGGTTTTGACTCTCCTAAAGTGCTCTTTTAGGACTGATATCGAGGAAAGATGTTTAATTTGACCTTATAATAGATCACTGTCGCTGAACCCTTATATATCCTTGTTTCAGACGGTTGGATCTTTACAAACATAAGCACTGGTCGATTGGGTAGTATTCAGCCGTTCAAAGTTCCAGAAACTGCTCGTTATCTCATCAAAGCATGGGGGGCAAGAGGGGGAACACACACGACAAATTATGGCGATTATCCCGGAACTACCGTCGGAGGAAAAGGCGCGTTCATGGAAGGCACGTTTGTACTGTTTAATCAAACTGTGCTGAGTATCGTGGTGGGGCAGAGGGGAGGAGATTCCGTGGAGGTGAGGGGAGGACAACCTACTACTCAAACCGCAGCTGAGCTGGGACTGTCAGTGGAGGACAATGCTGGTACAGGGGGTGGTGGAGGAAGTTTTGTTTACAATACCACCACCCTGTTTATAGTTGCTGGCGGGGGAGGAGGTGCAAGCGCAGGAAATGACGGAGTAGACGGTCAGGATGGTCCTAATGGCACTGATAGTGTTGGTCCTAACCCCACGTACGTGGGGAAAGGAGGAACTGATGGGTACCCTGGGGAATGTAACACTGTAGATGCTAATTACCATGGTGGGGTGGGTGCAGGCTGGGTACGCGAAGGCTGCAACAGAGTTGACACACAGCATGGAGAAAGAGGTGACTCCCGAGCGCAGGAATGGGTAGGGGGGCGAGCTGGGGATGAGAACAGTGGAAATAACGGAGGGCCACCCCCAGGGGCTGTAGGAGGCTATGGCGGTGGAGGAGGGGGTGCAGAGGACAATGGAGCATCAGGTGGTGGAGGAGGTTACTCTGGAGGAGGTAGTGGTCGTCGCATGCAACAAGCCGGAGGGGGAGGGGGATCGTATTGTGGTGGCATGAGTTGCTCTGGTACGACTGGTGGTAATCCAGAAGATCAAGGACGTGTGCAAATAATTCGATTATTTGACTAAAATATTCTCCAGGGGAATATATAATTAGCAGTATACCGTTCAAAGAGACGGGATGATTTAAATGTATTGCAGTTTGAATCTTTTGAGCACTTCCATTAGCTAGAGAATTATGAGACTAGTCATAACTAGCCTCAATTGAGGGTAAAATACAACTGATGGATTAAGTAATTAAAATGAATTAACTGTGCGCCACATGCAGAATTAAAAGAAAACAAATTCTGTGGTCATTCGTTTGTTCACTGTGCTGAGGTCGCAAATAAAGACCAATAACAGCTAAAGTATTACTCAATAAGACTCAAGCACTTTTTCCGAGTTATGTCAAGATGACAACGTGTCTCAATTATCAACTAAATTATATTATGAACTAGTAACATAGCAAAATAGGTCAAGTTGAAAGAGCATGTACAAGTTAAGTTAACTAGGGGAAAGTTTCTTCAAACAGAATCGTTCAATATTTTCGAATTTCGGTTTGTTCACACGGAACTGGCGCACTAGGCTGAATTACAACTTGTCTTAACAGTTTTACCACCTATCCATGCATGTGCAATTTGCTACTTTACCAAATGAAAAATGGTGTCTGCCAACTGAATTACCACTCATCCATGTAAACACGCCTTTAAGGTACAAAATACAGCTGGCTAAAAGTTGAACTCGATTTTGACGATCAAATTTTGAAACGCTATTCGCCCAAACGTAGCCAAAGGCTTCGCTCGAGAATTTGAATTAGAGCTGACTCAGCGAAAAAAAAATTATGATCCCTACCTGTTTGTCTGCTTGATTAGATATTTCAGTCTCGTGATCATCAGACTAGGTGCTTCTGTCTTTATGCATCCCATCACCAAAATCCATTTCTACGGACTCACTGAATTACAGTTCTCGATTTGTGAATGCAGCGAGCTGCAACTTGGTGATTAAATCATTAGGTTTGCTTATCCACCACTTTCACACTGAAAATTCACCGTGCTTGACCTCCCAAATTGGCTCTAGTGTTGTTACCAGTTTCTCTTGGGACGAATGCACATTGTAATCACAGATTGGAAATAATCGTTGCGTAATATTTGGAGAACAATGTGTTACATGGACAATGTAAAAAGTGGCGAATTGCACGTGTCAATGTTGTAATGGTTTGTTAACATTTGCTTTCTTTGTTAAGCCCCATTCACACGTACAAGGTTTTCGTAGCGAGGTTTCCTCACACAAATTGATGCACTGTACAAATATAGTTTGTAGCAAAACTTAGAAAACCAGTGCCAAATATTGTAAATCTCTTAGACTGGAATAAATTATGGAAATTCTCAGACTATGATGGGTACTGCGCTTCAACCAGAAAACGTACCTAAACATGAAGGTGTAAAAACTTGTATCCTTTTTTAATATTATTTTTGCATAATTTTTCTTGGGGAAAGGAGGGCGGGAAGAGAACATTTTCTTTAGTGTCAATAAAAAAGGATTAAATTAACTGCAAAAACCGTGGACGAAGATCCTGCTGGTTGTAAACGTTGGATCTCTAGAAGAGAGATCAAATCAGCCAAAATATAAAGAAACAAGAACGAGGAGTTCGAAGACTACAGCAAAGCTGATTTAAAACAACGTGTATTGTTTTTTATAACAATATTTCGGCTGGCCATACCAGCCTTCTTCAGGTTTACAGATGTTACTGAACTTGTGTAGCAATCACAATATTATATAGATGGAGAATGTCGCAATAAAAGGGAGAGACGGAAATGACGTACAACATAAAAACTGGATAGGAAAAATACTAAGGATATGGATTGCAATAATTCGTCACGGCGGTTTAGGCCATGAGGTTCAAAAGTCATGGCCTTATCTATCAAATGCGACTCCCTGGCCTTACGAACTGAGTCACGTGAAGAATGAATTTTTTCTAGTGGGATTAACTGCATGTCAGTATGAGAATGGTTAGAGTGAGAGAGAAAGTGTTCAGAAACAGTAGTGGGTTTAGATTTAATGTTAGTTTTGTCGACTGCACGTCTGTGTTCGTTAAATCTGTCCTTGAGACGTCGGTTAGTTTCACCTATATATTGTAAATTACAACAGTTACATTGAACCATGTAGATAACATTTTTAGTGTTACAAGTAATGTGTGAAGTGATGGAGCGTGTTTCACCTGTAGCGTAAAAGGTATAACTTGTTAGGCCGTTAGTAATGTATGGACAAGTGGCACAATTCTGTCCACAGCGGAAGGAGCCCGGCGGAAAATGATTGGTGGAGATAACGGGTAGTTGTGCTTTAACTAAAAGGTCACGAAGATTAGAGCTACGTCTGTAAGCAACAAAAGGCGGTTGCTTAAAGACGTCTTTGCAACGGTTAGAGGAGTGTAAGATGTTAAAATGTTTGCGTAGGATATTAGAGATGTGTGGAAGTGCTGGGTTATATGTGACAACAAATGGTACAACATCGTTAGAAGCTTTGGGTTTAGTTTGTAACGCGTTAGTACGAGAAATATTAGCAGCGCGTAGGAACTGTTTTTCTAGGAAATTATTATTATAACCACGAGCCAGGAGATATGTTTTAAGTTCATTAATGCGATGTTTAAACTTAGCGTCTGTAGAACAGATACGGCGGAGGCGGAGGGCTAAGCTGAACGGAATGGCTTTCTTAGTGTGGTGAGGATGGCATGATGAGCTGAGAAGGTGCTGATGTTTATCCGTGGGTTTAGTAAATAGATCGGTTTCAATTATACCGTTATGTAGAGACACCATGACGTCGAGAAAAGGAACGTTAGTAAGTGAGTGAGAGCTACTGAACTTAATAGTGGGATGAATGTTATTGAGATAATCGACGAATATTTTCAAACGATCTGAACCTTCTGTCCAGATCATGAAAATATCATCGATATATCTCCACCATGTGTGAGGCTGCCAAGGGGCGTTAGTGAGAGCGTTGGTTTCGAACATACCAAGAAAAAACACTATTCCATTCAATCAAGCTTATGGAGACAGCAATATAGTGAGATCTCCCTTTTCCTTGGCCGTGGGAGATCTGGGTACCAGATTAGTTTTTTCGTTGTTTTACGGGGTGTTTATTCTCTCATCATTCCTTCTTGAAGTCTAAAGGTTAGTGATCTTTGGAGCTGACCAAAAGGATCGCAGCCTCTGGAAACGAGAGTGTAGTAAACGTTTAATTCTTGCCCCAGAAGAACATTGCTTGACAAGAGAAAAAAAGGCTGCGTAGGAAAATACGTTTTAGGTTACGTGGAAGGCGTTTAAAAGAGATGGAAGGGAAAAGGGAATGTCCTACTTCAGAAACTCCAAGGAAAATAACTACAAACTTTGGGCGCAGTTATTTCTGGGATTGTTTTGGTGGATAAGGCACCAAATATGTCGCGAAATTTGGGATTATAAAGATGTTATGGATACAATAGATAGCGATAGGGGTGGATATACGGTATGTGGTAAAAATTTGGTGGATTAGGTTAAGTGCCACTTATAGATATGTAATGAATGGTGGCGAAAGCTGATTGGGATAAGTAACTATCAACTGGCACCTATTCAAAAGCATTTCTTGATAAATTACAAAGTCTGTTGATCGAACCGTCAGTCGCCGAACTCTGCAGACCAAATCGTTCACATCTAGTTTGCAGCCCGACAATTGTTCGGCACCAAATAACTTCATTCAGTCGCGGAACTGCTTAAAACATGGCACTGTTTTCATTGATTCTTGCTGGTATGATGTCGATGCTTCTGGTGGAGTCAGGCAGGTCATCTCTAGAAAGTCGTCAGAGGCCTCACTCCATTATTGAAAGGTACGATTTGACACTCAACATTTTCGGTTCGGTTTGTATGTTCAGAAGATTAAAGAGACAAAAATCGATATGGAACATTAGGCAATCCCTTTACCGTAGCTTGTAATCACGCGCCGTTTTGGGCTTTATTTTTTTTATGTCAAAAATCCCCCTTATGAAATCCACCATTTGTAGCCCTTACCAAAGAAACCTGCAATGCTTGATTTTGTTCATTTCAGGGTTTGCTGTTGTACCACTATAGGCTCTCAAGGGCCTTAATCTAGGACTATAGGTCTTCCAAATCAGCCGGATTTCCCAACTCTATATTAGAGAATTAATAGGGCTTGAAGACCACGGGCTCCACACTGCATTTCCACGCGAGCGTGTTTTAGAAATGTTGGTGCTACTCGTTTCAGAGGACGAAATCTTTGTTCAAGGCTACTAATTCAATTGCAAGGACTCAACCCCTCTCTTTTAAATTGAGTTTTGGAGGAAGAACAATTGATGAAGGTGAGTCAACAGTATTGTGTATATCCTCGTGTATTTATCAATATTCTCTACATTTCTGATTACAGATACAACAGGACTATGGGAAGCAACGAAGAAACGTCTCGGGTAAATACGCCTTTAATTAGCCGATAACCTTTCAGGATGGAGAGGGAATGGAAGGGGTGCTACGAAGAGCCACACCCAATATTATTTGGTTGATCCTTCGTGGGCTATTGCAATTTCTAGAATCGCCGGATTTTATTTTTTAAAAGTCTTAAAAGATAACCCTACACACTCACTGAACCAGAGAGAGAGTTAAAAGTAAACAGTAAAGGCGATGACTACAAGCCTGATCATAAAAAAGAAGCACGAAAAATGTCCTCGTTCGTAACAGGGTCTAACTTGGTCACCAAAATTGGATCAAATGATTGTGCGCGGATCTGTGAATCAGGCTGATTCTCAAACCATTTACCAAACCATTTGTTATAATTTTAAATGTTTTTTTGGTGCAATTGTTACTTATAAAATAAAGGACTCTATATTACCAAAACAATGATAATACTCTATAAAAGGTGAAAAATGTTCTATCTTAAGTAATTTCAAAATGGCGTCCAAAGTGGTTTCAGCAGTGACTCATCCCATAATTTTAATTTTAACATTTTGAAAAGTTATAGACTGAGTAAAAACCGGAGCAGTCCTCCTCACCCCCTCAGTACCTTCTGACATCTGTTTTTGTGCAGTCAGAAGATATACTTCTTGCAATGGT